TCCACAGGTACATCCTGGGATGCTGCCCAGTGTATGTGGTAGGGAGGGAAGGAAGGCCCTGGAGTCCATCTGGCAGCAAAGAATTCCTGGATTTTGATGTCCTCTCGGATCTTCCCAGGTCAAAGAGAAGCTGCACAATGAAACCATTCTCTTGCTGAAGAGTGGGAGGTTCCAAGACGTCTTTGATAAGGCACTGGTCTTGTGCCAGATGCACAACTTCAAGGATGGGATCCTTTACCTCTATGAGCAGCACAAACTGTGAGTGCAGATGAGCCATCTGGTGAAGGGAAGCGGGGAAGGCTAGCCAAGTTTCAAACTGGCCTGGTTGGTGACCCCTCAGGCTCTTCACTGATGCTCATCTGCCTGCCTTGTTTCTCTCGTGTTCCCAGTTTTCAGCAGATCATGCATTACCACATGCAGAATGGGCAGTACAGGAAGGTGGTTGAGGTTTGCGAGCTGTATGGGGACCAAGAGGCCTGCCTTTGGGAACAAGCTCTCGGCTACTTTGCCCACAAGGAGGAGGATTGCAAAGAGTACATTGCAGCTGTGCTCACACGCATTGAGACCAAAAATCTCATGCCACCTTTGCTGGGTGAGGCCAAGACTCTGCCTTTGGGATGAGGTAGTGGCACCAACAGTGGTCATTTAAGGCCCAGCATCTTCCTTTCTGGAAGGAAACTCGCACCAGGACCAGGGGTGATGTAGCGCTGTCTTGCCCAGCCTGGGCGCTTTGCAGGGGAATCACTGCAGTCCTCAAATCCTCAGCCAGAGTGGAAAAAGCTGCTTTCGCTGAAGGTGGGGGTGGGGAGGTGTTTTCTAATCTGCACACATTAAGGGTTCACAACGCAGACCGATTTTAAAGCGGCCATTACTGTTTGGATATGGGGTGGAAAGTATCTGAGCAATTAACCCTACTGAAAAAGTTACCAAAGGTTGACCTTGGAGGACTCTCACAACTCTATGGCAATCCCTGCTCAATTTCCTCGTCCATATTGAGTACACAGTCAAGAGAGAGAGGTGCAAAATTCCTGCCTCTCTGCCCCTCATTTGCTGGCCTCTGAATGGGGGAGGGAAAATATTTTGCTCAGGTTTGTCCATTTTTCAGGGCTTGGGAGGGTGTTAAGATTGAAAAAGGGGCACATTAAACTTTTAGTAATTTAAGGCATCCATTTCATAAACAACACTCCTCTCCCCTGAAAAATGGGACTGCTTTGGGTCCTGACTCCCCCTCCTTCCACACACACGCACACGCGCGCGCACACACCCACATTAAGATGCCTCTGGAAAGTATACAGAGTTGAGGCAATGATAAGCTGGAAAGGCATCTGGCTGATCCAGCTGTTGCCACATTTTGGGGGTCCAGTTCATGCTATTCCTGCTACTTCTACGATGATTTTGACTACACAGGAACAGCACATTGTATTTGTGTATGGGTTGCGGAACAGGTTGCTGAAATGGCTGAGCTGTAGTCTGGCAGGAACCCCCACACCCACTGCCCATCTTGGCTCAGATCAATATTGGGATTGTGCTCAGAGAAGCAGTATAGCTGATAAAGGATTGCAACTCCCCCATTCTTTCCTGTCCTGATGGCTGCCTCATTTTCTAGTTGTACAAACCCTGGCTCACAATTCCACGGCCACCCTGTCAGTCATTAAGGATTATCTCGTCAGCAAGCTGCAGAGACAGAGTTGCCAGATAGAACAGGATGAACAAAAGATCCAGAAATACCGGGAGGAGACCAAGCGGATTCGCCAAGAGATTGAAGAGCTGAAAACAAGGTAGCTGTAAAACCTGCTGCTGGATCTGTCCCAGGGTCAGCAGAACCTTCTGAGTGCAACCTTCCTGGGTTCTGTCCATTGTCCTGTTGTGCCCCGTGATGCGGGATGGCAATGGAAGTGCTTGACTCCTTGGGAAAGGCGGTGGGCTCTCTCGCAACAAGAGCTGAGCGGAAATTTCAGTGCTTCCTTGGACGGCTGCTGCTTCTAACTTCCAGCCGCTGAACTCTGGGGCAGGGAGTACCCGCATCCTAGGATTAGGGACCAAGTGAAGGCTGGGGTCGTAGCAGAACGGGGTGATAGCTGCCGCGGGGTGCCCCAACCTTGACTGCTTCTTTTCTATAGTCCCAAAATATTCCAGAAGACGAAGTGCAGCATCTGCACCAGCGCCCTGGAGCTGCCCTCGGTGCACTTCCTGTGCGGCCACTCCTTCCATCAGCACTGCTTCGAGAGCTACTCGGAGAGTGGGTCAGAGTGCCCCACGTGCCTCCCTGAAAACCGCAAAGTAATGGACATGATCCGTGCCCAAGAGCAGAAGCGAGACCTGCACGACCAGTTCCAACACCAGGTGGGGACTGAAGCCTAGCTGGGTCTCTGGTCGGGCCCTGGCGCTTGCGGACAGGCTCGGGTCGGCTGCTGCTCGTCCCCTGCCAAACGCCCTCTTCTTTTTGTCTCTGACAGTTGAAATACTCCAATGACAGCTTCTCGGTGGTTGCGGATTATTTTGGCCGTGGCGTTTTCAACAAACTCACCCTCATCACAGACCTTCCGCCGAGCAAATCGGCCGCAGCTCTCGATGCAAGCTTGCAGCGGGACCTGCTGGTGAAGACAAAGAGGGGCACCTAGAAGCTGGAGGAGTCCTCTGGTCCTGATCCGTTCAGTCGCGCGGCACAAGCGGCGCTTCTGTGGAGCCGTGAACCGTCGGGCTGGGATTTTATGGGAAGAGGGCGTCAGGTTGAGCATAAATGCCATCGCGGACAGTCGTGGAGAAGTGTGACTTGGTGGGAGGGGAACTCGGCCTTCTGGCTCCGTCCCTGGGCGGGCCTGACCCAGAGGCGGGACGGACGGAGCCTGCTGGAGAACCGATCGAGCCCCTCTTCTTGCGGAGGCGGCTCCGTTCGGGCCCTTTCCCGAGCCCCAGCGCAGGCTCTGGTCGCAGCCCTCAGCCCGGGCCTGCTGTCCCC